TGTTTCTCTCACGTATTCTCACTCCTCTCTCACTGCAATTACTTCTGTGGAATAAATTTTCCCTTTCTTAAATCTGTTATCCCCAAGGCGCTACCACCATCACTGATGGGCTTGGCCTTGGCCAGTGGCGGGTTCATCTTGGAGCTGGCTGGCATTAGCTCTGTCGGACATGGGGAAACTTCTAGCAGCTTCTCACAGGAGCCACCCCTGTAACCACTACCGCTGCCAAAATCTTGCCACACAAACCCCTTACACTGTGATAATAAGTGTTGACAAAAATCTTAAGAGAAGTAGCAGTGGTTTTGAGACCACGTTTACCTACAGTATGCTGTAAGTAAACAGGATGAAAATCGTTTTCTTCAATCAAAAACAATGCAATTTTTACTTTATTGGGATAAAAGGATTAGATAAACTGAACGGACTTACCAGGATTTGTACCTACAGGGAGGGCCACTGAAACATATCCACCCAATCCCCTTATCAGCGTTGGGACAAATTATGAAAGTATCCGATCTTGAGAAGACTGTAGCCTATTCATAGCTGGTAGTTTATTGGCTTGTACACATATTCTTATGTCAAAAAATGGGTGTAAAAACTGGTTCGTAATTGAAGCAAATTGGCCCATACTAACTGGAGTAGCCCCCTTTACAACACACAAGGCTGTAATGTTTTGGATGTGTCTGAATGAAACACATCAGCACACCACAATAAAAGCCTTTCATAGTGCCCCTGGAATCAAGGTGTACGAACAAGGCATTCATAGCCCTGAGAACAGGTTTCACAAGTTACAAAGGTACATGCCAACCTCTTGTCTAGAATTGGTGTTCAAGGCTAGGCTATCCCATCAGGAACCTGGGTGGGCCACAGGCAGAGGGCAGTTGTTTTCATGGGGCTCCTGATAAGGTCCTTTGATGATGGGAAGATGCTTGTTTCAGTGCACTTCATTTTGAACTCAGTCATACTCTGGAAAATCCTAAGGCTTTTGTGTCAATTTTTTAGAAGTGTTTTACAGGCCATCCATGTATGTGTAAATTTTAAAATTTTTTCTGTATTTTAGCATTAGTTGTCGTTACTGAACTTGGTTTCTGAAGATAATACAGCTGTAAAATGTGGTGACATAGTTTTAACAGACTAGATACACTTTGAATGGTTTACCTCGTGTCTTTTAAGCATAGGACAAGTATACCCATAATTCTTAATGAATACCATTAAATATGGGAAAATGAGCTGTTCAAAATGACCTACTTATTTTGATGAAATCTTTTTTAGCAGTTGTGCAGTCATAGTTTTGGAAAAAAATTATATATTTTTTTTTCTGTTGTTCAAAGTGCTACCCTTTTTCTGCACTTATATTCTTATGATCATCCTTGCATTTCCTGATTGTGGTTGACTCAGTTTTCATATTCAGCTTGTTATTATTTAGTACTGTGTTTTAAAGAAACAAAAGACACCAAGTGAAACCTATCAGATTATATGTCTCAGTGGCACTCTCAAAAAAAGTGTGCTTCTCTCTTTTGGGCTTGTTGTAGATAACTTAAAAATAAAAGGAAAACTCAGACTGCTGTTTATCTCTGAACTTAATTTAGTGTGATCATTTGTGCTTTTTTTCCCCACTGTTTTTTTAAAATGTCAGTTCAAACTAAAAGACTCAGTTCCCAAAGGTATGGATGACACTGATTTACTTTATTGCTGTTGATCAGAATGAGACAGTTTGTAAGACTTCCGCGTACATTGCATTACATCTGTAAAAGAATAAAATGTAAATCACTCAGTAAAGGAGAAAATCCAATAAATATTTCTTCCACATCCTGCAAATAGTACTCCAGGCAGAACTAAATGACAAAGTACGGTCAGTGGGTGATATGCAGAATGGCCTTTCATCACTGGTTTCTCTTTACAAATTGATATGGCCTCGTAGTGTTAAAGGTTTGTTTTGGTTTTTTTTAAAAAAAATATTCACAGTGGATTATATTTTTAATAAATATATTTACCTTCCAAAAGATGACATTTCATGGAAGATGAATCTTTCTATAGAGAAGTTATGCAGAAATAAATGAAAAACTTTATTCAAGGTTACTAATAAAAAAAAAAAAAAGTTTTCTTTTTTTTTTTTTTTCAGATGGAGGTCTTTAATTTGGTATTTTTGTCACAGCTTGTAAAACAGTGAAAGATGTAATTTGTATTCCAGTTTCTTTTCTTCCCTTTCGTCTCCTTCTCCTTTGCACCTCATCCCATCCTCCTTTCTAATTTTCTGCCTTCTTTTGCCAAAACTAGTCAAGTTTGAAAATGTTAGAGAGCAGTTAAAGAAAAACAGCCATACTTCATCTCTATAAAATAGAGAGGTGAGTGGCACTTTAATAGCCAAGTTTGTTGGTTGGGTGTGTCATGAAAATAGAAAATAATATCAAAAGTATCTGACACTGAAATACCTGTAAAGAGCTGAGTCTCATCTAATCCTGTAACTCTGCAGCGATAGAACTAAATTTTAACTTGTATTAAACTTTGCATCCCTTATCAGCTGTAGGAACATAAATGGAATAACTAATGTACTCCAAAATAAAATTCGAGTAGTAGTGAGCATTGCTTTGCACTTCAATAAACCAGAACTGGCATCAGTCTTATTGTTGGCTCTGTATTAAACCTAGATCTGCCTAGATCTAGTCAGTACTATTTTTCTAACTGAAACTATACAAAATATTAAGCATTGCTTTTAAAAAAAAAAAAGTAGTTCTGAAATACTGAAGAGGTGTTTTTGTAGGAAATTATATAGATTTACATTGTTTCTAGATTTTCCTCTTTTTTTTATGTAAGTGTCCACACAAAGAGAAATAAAATAATTTCTGATATTCAATTGTTGTTGTGATTTTTGCAACTGAAATCCCTGTAATAACCATACCAGCCACACCTGATTTAAAAAACAGGATTATGATTCAAGATGAATTTTAAGGAATGGATCAGCTCCTTGGAAACCAACTTTGCTGTCTTTCAGGTGTTCTAATGACAAAAACAAGGAAGAAAAGATCTGCTTTCTCAGCACAACTGACTCTAAAATTCTTCTCAGCATTTTCTGTGATGTCAATGGGTCTTTAAGAAGTCGTTAATATATGTTATGTATTATAGAACAACTGCTGATTGCTAAAGGAGCAAAATGACACATTCACCTTTGAATGTGGTAGTTGATTCAGTTTATATTCTCTGCTTTAGCTAATTAAGCACCAAGGACCAGATCTTAGGTTGGATGATGTCTTATTCACTGTGTACTTCATCAAAAAGTACAAGATTGTTTGAGAATTGAGGCAGTACTTGCTATTACTGAGGATGGTACAGTCTGGCCTGAAGGAAATTTATTTTAGCTCTAGCTTGACTGTATTTAAATGGTAATCCTGCAATTCAGGCCTCATTTAACGAGAGTAATTTAATCTATGAAGAAGGACTAGTGTTACATTAATTTGAAGTAGTTTTTCTCTTTGAAATATGGAATATATAAAATGCTTTTATCTCCAAGTCATTGAAAAAATCCTCTGATTTATTGATTTATTTATTTATTTTAGCATAGAACAGTGTCTTAAAGACCTGCAATCAGAAGTAAATGAAATATGTACCGATGAAATACTACAAAGCACAACTGACTGCCTTCAGTGGCTAAACAACTGCAATTTTAGTTCTCTCAGACCTTCTTCTACACACCACGGAGAGCTGATGGAGTTCCTTAGGACCTTGGTAAAAATGGTTTACTAAAAACTTTTAATGTTTGGGAACGTTGGTTATATGATGGGATGGGGAGCGGGGGGTGGTGGATGTTGAAGTTAATTAGTTTTCTCATTTCAGTCTTCATTGTGGTGAGGATAGTTCAGAAATCGTATTATAAGGCTTAGCACTGGTTTTATGTCCACAGCAGTGCGTTATGTTTCCTTTTGATCATGCCTTAAATAGACAAACTTGGTACAAAATCTTTTCACTGATGCTGCCACATGTTCAGCACTGCTAGTACTGTTTTATAAACACATGTTGGTAAAACGTGAAGCTACAGTCTACACCGAGACTATTACTGTTACTGCTTGTTCTTCGCTTGTATCAGTATGAATTTAACTCACCTAATACAGATTATTGTCCTGTGTGCATTATTTAAGCAGTAACTTCCTATCTACTTTTTCCAGTTAGAAATGTGGGAGATATTTCCATTGTCCTAGCAAGTTGTACAACTAGATATAACCAGAAATCAAATTTCACTTCAACAAAAGATTCCATTATTCTAGAAAGCATTTTTATCCAAAATTTTTATTAGCCTTAATGTTAACCTTAGAATATATGTGTGGAAATGGAAGTCTGGCAAATTGAATTGGCTAGATAAGTGAAGGGTGATGCCTCAGTAAATGACAGCCTGCAAGTTTATATATAAACTGTGTCTATTGTGTGTTTATATGATGTACATATGTATGAATGTCGAAACAAATAAATGGTATCCAGTGGGTTGTTTTTTATCACTTCAGTGTCATGGTATAGTTGTAGGACGTGAACTCCTTTAGGCTAAGATTAGCTCTTCTGGCAGAGGAAAACTGCTGTGGAGAAGTTGACTCTTTTCTCCTTTGGAACTATCTCCTGGCTAGAGCTCAAGCTTCATCAAATCACCTGGTTTTAACTCTTAAAACTGGTTGTTGATCTTCGAGTCACCCATGAATCCACTGGATATTAAGCTGTGTCAGATGAGGAAGTCATCTCTAGAAACACCAGGTCTTTAATGTTCATGAGGTGAAGAAATTATTTTGTCCCCTTCTAACATAGGTGACCAGTATGAATGTTGCTGTTGATAATCGCCTCACTCAAGGGTGTCAGAGACTGCTGCCCATCATACTTGACCTAGACAGAATGAGAGGACCCCAGAAAGTCCTGACTTATGGAGTCTTTTGTTATTCATCTTAGTCCAGTTAGATCCTTACTTAAACCCTCTAAGAAAAGGGCATGGCCATGATGACTTACCTGTGTCCATTCCCTGCTTTCTTCCTTCTCCAAGGTCTATTCAAGCCATATACCTGAACACCAGGTGGCGGCATTTGTTCGGGAAAAACGAAAACGTCCCCATCCCTAGAATACTTCGAGTATATCTTATACAAAATGTGCTTTCTAGTGCTTCAGCTTCTCAGGAGGATACTGACTGCATGACGGTCTGGCTGTGGGCTGTAGAGTCCAGTTAAGCCTTGAGAATGGCCCTGGGCAGACTGCTAAACAGGCAGCAAAGTGTGAGAAGCCTTAAAGTCTCAATTCTGCACAGTTTAAGAGGAAAACATTTGTGGAGCTTAGGGACTGAGACATTGCTGTTTCCAGGCTCATGGCTTCTTAGACAATCCAGCCTGTTGCGTAGATGAGACTACAGATGAAAAAATATGTATGTGTTAGCATAGACAATACATCTGTAAGAAGATACAATGGCAGTAGATAATCTTTAGCTCCATAAACAGATCTGAGATAAACTGTTTTCAGTAATAGTCAGCATTAATTCAATTTCTACAATCAGACCTTTCTCAAATGTGTATCTCCATCCATTGAACTAATTACTCGCTTGAGTTAATTTCTAACTTACAAGCTTTTAACTAGGTATCACATAATTTTCAATAACAGTAACCTTCCTTCTACTTCAGGACAATATCACTTTTATTTATTATTGTTTATCACAATAATGACACAATTATATGTGTTTATTTTGTTAGGGATTTTGTTTATCTTTTAAGATGCTGGAACAATTAAGCAAATAGTGCAAGGTTCTGGATGTGCTTTGGCTGAGGTGCTGTATTTGGGTGTATAGTTAGCATGGTATTCTCATGCATTTATGAACTCTCATAGAAATAGTGAGAGGTTCTGAAGCCTGAAAATGTTAATTATGGGAAATTTTGTCATTCTGTGTACTGTTTTGTAATTCTAAATATTTAAAAACTGAATGTGTACATGAACACATCTTCATTAAATTCCATTATAAACTAATGACAAAATGGGTTTTTTTTAACAAAACATTTATCTTCATGGATTTGGTTATTGATATGATAGGTAGTAGTCAATAGTAGGTAGTAGTCCAGTTGATTGTCCAGACCACAAATGTTTTCCTGTATATTATTGTCACTATCTTCCTGTGCGCATAAGAGAACTTTTCATGCTTCTCTAAAACCTTTGGATACTAATTTGGATCTTTTTCTCTTGAATAGTTTTGGCATCATCTTTTGAAGTATTTTTACAGATTAATTTTCAAATGGAAAAGCCTGTGTCAATATAGGCAAGTTCAAAGAGACTTGGTGACACTCTGTTTTCAGAGCTTCAAAGTTCACTTCAGGGGCTCTTTTTCTGAGTAACACTGAGTCTAAGATGGCATCTGTGAGCTCCCTATTTTTAATGCTTTAGTTTAAGTTGCAAAGGGCTTGAAACAATGCTTAGATTCTTACTGGCTTTCATGAATAAAAATGTTTCTGCTTAACCTTAAAAAACAGCAGTAGGGATTTGCTTGGAAGTCATTTGGATTAATCACGCAAAGGCATCAGTTACATTCACTGTTTTGACAGCTTCTCTTGTTTTGATCATTTCAGAATATAGTATTTGAGCATGATTCATAAAAAAAATTAACCTTTAAACTCCAGAAGTCTACCTGTGGAGACTTGACTCTTCAACACAGTGGTTAGTGATTAGGGTTTCAGTTTACACAGAGACACATTCTCCTTGGGGACAGAAAACTCTGTAGAATACTTCAGTAGATAATAATAGAAAATAAAATCAGCCTTATGTATATGCATATTGATATGTATGATTTAAGATTTTAACTAGTCATACATATTCCTATCACATGCACATGCTTTTATAGGATATTTGGCTGAGAGTTTCCTTTATTATTCCGTCTTTCACATGCTTGTCAGTGAAAAAATTCTTAGAAAGCATTCTGAAATAAAAATGTAAAATGGAAGAAAAATAGCTACTCTGTTAATTTTAAGATTTTCCTTTATGGGAGGCAATCATGCTCTCCGTCTTTTGTTCAGAATTAGCTACTGTGGTGCAAGCCTTTTTATTTTTTGGTTTTTGTCACAGAGCACTCCAGAGCAGAGGGCAATAGGAAGGTTAAACTTGTTTTTTCCCATAAGAGTGCAACAGTTTTGAATCATCTGGAACAAAGAATAGGAGTTCTGATACTGAAAATTTTTGTGACTCAAAAACATGGTGGGGGGAGGAGCCCGCTGAAGTTTTTGTTCTAAATTTTGTTTTTTTTTATATTTTTATAAATTGTCTATTGATAAAAGCTTGCTACAGTAGAAAAACTGAGCATTTTGTATTGGAAATTATTATATTTAAGCAATACCATACTTGAATTTGGTTTATTTTTCTCTCTTTCAAAGTGGGAAAAAAAATAAAACTAGTCATTTCCTCAAATACTTGAGGTTAAATAAATCAGTAGTTCTGAAGGTCGAAGGTTGCCGACAGTTTCATTATCAGCCTTACTTTATAGGATGGAGTATAGCTGGGAGACCCATATAAAGGACATGAGTGGAAAGAACTACCCTTATGCGATATGCCACAATGCTTTTCTCTGTTGGAGAGAAGCGATAGGAGGTGGGGGAGCAAGTGAGAAGTTTTCTGGATCCTGATTCACCTAAGGCTTGCCCACTTGGTTCCTGAAACCCAGAAAATCAAGAGTTTCACTCAGTTTTCTTGTGACTGTGATGGGGAAATCTGTAGTCAGCTCTAGAGCAGCTGCAGAATTCAGAGCATTGTCTGTACAAATAAAAAGTTGATGGGCCTAGGACTGTGGCCAGAGCCAATCTGTAGTCGGAAAAATGTTGAGGATGTCGGAAACGGGTTTATAACAGGCAAGTTCCATTTCTCTGATAAAGGAGGGAGGTTTTGTTGTACAGTGTCCGTGGGATTTTGGGGTTGTCTTCTACTCATATATTGGACACACCTTGTTCGTCAAATGATTCGTCATGTACATATTGAGGAGAGCTGCAGAATGCTGTTTAAATTTGTGTGATTCTGGGCCAAGTAGAAAGCATTGAGCTCTGAGAAGAGGACCTGGTATTTGCTGCATGGCCTGATGAACTTGAAGCAGCTTTAAGGCCAGAGATCCTGTCCCTGGACCAAGAGGGAGCTCTTCTGGCTCCGATAAAGTAGGAACAGCGCGTGCATCCATGTGATTTCACCTGCTTTGTTAGCTGGCTTCCTTCTCCTTCTCCAACCCATACAGCTGAGATGTGTTTAGAGGTTGCTGTATTGTCATCAGCATGCATCTTGGTTTGATGGCATACACAGCTGCTTATTCTTTTGCCCTGTGAGATCTTAGCCTGTTTCTTAACAAGTTTTCAGTTTTAGTTCTTTAAGGGGGTCCTGGGAAGATTATTTGATCCTTAGAATGGCTTTTTCGATGGTTGCTTGCTGAGCCAGAACATAGAAAGGAGCAATGTTTCATTTTATAAATTACTGTCTTGGTTTTATTAGCAAAACTTGTCATTATCTGTGTAAATCTTGAGTAATTTTTCATACCATTTTCTTTCAAAGATTTGTCTGTGGATCACAACAAACAGGCTGCCGAGGTTTACCTAATAAGCTTTCCAAAGCTCTCCTTTGATTTGTGGGTGAGAATTGATTGAGAAAAGAGGTTAAGGGTGTAAGAAAGGTGGGAAGAGGAATGTGAGTTATTGGAGCAGGTAGATAAGGGTATGGATTGGCACATAAATCCATGGGAAAACAGGCTTTGTTGTTTCTGTTGTTTATATAGCAATTTGTTTGAGTATCTTATTTGCTGGGGAGATGATTAGCATTGGAAAAAATTGGTACTGTAGCATGAAGCTCTTAATTTTATGAACCAGAATTAATAAAGCATTTCTAAACTACTGTCTGATTTACCTTTGTTAGCAAAGCTTGCTGAAGAATGAGCAAAATCAAGAAGAAATGATACTTCACTTCCTTCTAGATCTCTCTAGCCAGTGTGGTGTCTCATTTCCCTGTACTCCAAGTGGGACGTCTTTTGAGCTAGCATCTTCCCTTCATGCCATTGAGGATGATTCAACTACGGATGTGAAATCTCTCTGGGACGATGTGAGATTGCATCTTCGACGATTTTTGGTAAATAGACTGCAAAGTCAAGAAGAAACAAATACTAATGCTTTACAGCAACAAATGGAGTTTAAAACTCAGTGCATACAGCAACTTTTGTTTCTTTATCCTGAATCGGAAGTTTTAACGAAGTATCAAAATATGCAGAATAAACTGGTTAGTGACCTTCTGCAGAACTGTATTTTGTCTAGTTGTGGTGAAACTAATTTTGATAAGGTGGTTCATGGTTACCAAAGTTCCATACCCACATTGTGCACAATGATAAAAGAGGATTTGTATATACTAAGTGGAACCATTGATCCTTCTTCATCATTGAAGTTTATTAATGAAACTTATCTGGACACTATCACCGAAGAAATGACGGTTCTTCTTGAAAGACTTTGTGAGCTGCAGTTCAAGGAAAATGCTCTACATATAGTTAAGGCAAACAAGATTTCAAGGAAGCATAGAGGAACAGTTCATGCTGTGGGTTAGTAGCCTTGTTTTATGTTCATTGTAGTTAGATATTATTTTAATTATACTTCTTTTTTCAAGTTACTTGATTGTTTCCTATGAAGAGAGAGGCCTGAGATTATTAATGACAGATTTATATTTTAACCATATTACTGCAGTTGAATTATAGACTGTGTCAGAATTCTGATGAAAAAGGTTTTAAAGTAGGGGAGAGTATCTTATGTATATAGAAACCCATTATAATTCATTGGATAATGTTGTCATGTCATAGTAATTTTTTTCAGTCTAACTTATTCCGGTTGCTGAAATATATACTAGAACTATTTAATGCAGATTTAAAAAAACCACACAAACTCTTCAGTCTTCTACCTCCACTTTTCTTGAATCATCGGAAGTTTAGAGGAGATTATAGGAAAGTCCGTACGATAATGTGACCATGAAATAGACACAGATTCATATATCAGATCTGAATCAAAAGATTACTATACAGATTCTAATTCTAAAAAAAAAAAAAAAAATCATTTAAGTTTTCCAGTCTTGTGAAAGTGTGAGTTAATGCTACCTGGTAATTTCTTCTTGTTCTAAGGAGTTTAAGGCAGGAAATGAATCTGTTATTGATGTGGGATTTTCTGTACTTTCTTTTTACAGTTGGTGAGTCTGACAAGCTAATTTCCAACAGAAGGAATCAGAGCTTTAGAGAAAAATCATACAGAATGGAAAGTTTCATAATATAATTGCATGATTGTATGTAATTGCTTTTTCAATGCAGAGTTTTGAGCACTCCTCAGTGCAAGATCTGTTTGTTTAAAACGTAGCCTTCCATAAAGGTGAAGTAGTTTGCAGACAGAAAATATTAAAAATTTAGAATCATGTGAAAAATACGGAAATAGAAGACAGATCCTTGGGTTGTACGACATACATAGATTCATACACAAAGGATGAGTGAGGTGGTGCTTTGCCAGGCCTATGCAGATGAAAATTACACTCTTGTGAGTTTTAAAATCAATATACACGTTAAAGTAAGTGAGTCAATCAGAAATTGCACTGGAAGAAACACAGAAGTAATTTTTTAACAGAAGAAGAAAGATGAGGTAAGATGAGAAAGATAAGATTGCAGACAATGTGAAAGGATGAGAAGTTCAACGTGAAGCTGGTATATTAGTGGGAGGGAGTGTTGGTGGGAAACAAGGAGAAGTAGTGTCAGATAAATGCTCAGTTATGAAATAAATGACAAGAAATGAGTGAGATGGGAGTCAGTGAAAAGATTCACTGATGAGAAAAAAAATACTGGTAGGGTACTGGAAGTTTGTAATTTAATTTTTCTTTTAATCTCAAAACAGCTCACAAAGATAGGGAAGTTCAGTTAGCTCCATGTTACATCCAAGACATGGAGATTAAAGTGACAATAAGGGTGACTCTCTAAAAAAAACCAAGACATTAGCTGCTTCTATATTACAAGATGGAAGAGAACAGTCCTTCGGTCTATTAAGATAGTAATTCCTCTCCTTAAATTTTCTTTACGACAAGACATGTCTTTACATGGTTTTGTGCCAGCACATCTATTGGGACAGATTTACAGTACACAAATCTATTGTACATTCAAAAGAACAGAGGAAGGTGAAAGTATACAAAGTAAATCTTCGGACCTGCTTGCAACTTTTAAAACATTTTCTGCAATGAATTACAAAAAAAAAAAAATTAACTCAGAAAATCCCACAGAAGATATTTCTTTTGGTTCAAAACGTATTAGAGGTCAGATTTGCAGGCACAGCAGCTGTCCCCTTAAGACCCATAAAATGTGTTTAGAAGTGGCTTTTGTTAATATCATTTAATCCTCAAAATTACTTTCTTTGCAGTGGCTATCGTGCTCATGTCTTCATCTCTTCACTGTATGGCACTTCATATTATTTTACTTCAAGAGGCTGGAATGCGCGCCAGCCATCTCTTACAAGTTTTCTGCAGAATCAGGCTGTTCTAGATGATCTGTGGTTATAGACTGCAGGCAAACATTAAAGTGACGATAGTGAAGTCAGCAAGCTAGAGTGAAATAGCGAGTCAGAGTTGTGAAGCTACATAGGATGTTTTTTTGTTTTGTGGACATGTCGTAGCCTATTACTTGGTATTATTAATCAACTCAAGCAAAAAATATACTTTTGTCATTACCAAAGCAACTGTTATTGAATTGTTCATTGTATGTGTGTTTGTATGTGAAGAGTCTTTTCTAGAAAGAGATTTCTCTCTTCTAAATGTTTGAGTATGCTACATTTGTGCCACACTAAGTCAGAAAAAGGCACTTTTCCTTTGGAATGAGAGTGTTCACAAGGCAGTTCACACTGAAGTAGCTATTCTGGAAGAACTTCTACAGAATAACTACTTTGGGAGGTTTATAATGGTAGATAAGGTCTTAGTGTCAAGTGGCTTTTCCTGCTTGGAACTCTATTAAATTCTGATATCTTTGCGGCCCTCCCACAATTGAGAGTGGAAGTCTGTGTTTATACACAGGTTAAGTTAAAAGGTGGCTTTAATAGGCTGCCTTGACAGTGATACCCAGTTTGCTATCAAAAAAAAGCATGCTGGAGTATGGAGGAAAGGGGAGAAAGGGAAGGAGATTTTTTTTTCTTAGCTGAAAGACAGTTATGCCAATGTGGTTCTTATTTTTTGATGCGTGTTGCTTCTGCCCTCTGGGAACCACCAAACCAGCATCAAACCAGCACGTTTCAGAACAGCGAAGTGATTTAATCTGGGGCATTCAATTAGGATTGTTATCCCAGAGGGGAAAAAAGGGTTTGTGTTTACAAAATGCAGGTTTGGGTTTGTTGGTTTGATTTGTTTGGTGTGTTGGGTTTTTTTTGTTTTGTTTTGTTTTATTTTTTTTTCCATAAGAACTGCTGTAATTGATCCCACTGTAGAGGAGAGGAAAAAATAACAGAAAATAATGAAACAATGCTAGAACCTCAGAAAACTTTATATAGATGACCTACTTCTGTCAGGAAAATATAGGTAGTCTATAACAAGCTTTAGCAGAGTTATAAATCTTTAAAATATTTCATATATAACAATCTATTTGTGAAGTAAGGAATTAACTTTTTTTTTCATATTGTATTAGAAAAGTTATTTGTCAAGTACTGTAATGAGGTTGTATCCATTTATCAGGATTGAGGATGAGCATGGTTTGAGAGAGAAGCTGGCAAAGTGGTGTGTGAAAAGAGGCAAATTCTTTGGAACTTGGCATCTTTGATTGCCAACTCTAGTGGAGGCAGGTGGTTTTACATTATAATTTGATCCAGACAGCTGGTTTTCAGCTTATCTCTTAAGATTTTTTGCTTCTATTTCCAATGTGATATTTCTCAGAAATTATTTGCAGTAAGTCTATTAAATGTGGATTGTACTTTTACTGTTTGAACCTTTTCCGTGTTCCTTTGTTTACAAAAATGTTAAACTAGTTTAATCGGCATTACTAACCTGTCTTAATCCTTCATCTCTTTTAGATGAAGAAACAGCTACTCTGATAAGACATCAGCCAAAGAAACATAAAACCCACGAGATTATATACATTCTATATATTAGTGGAATGTTGACTTTGCTTTATTTGTGTAATTTTTTACGTATATAGAGAGAGACTGTGAAAATACATGTGTAGACTAGTTAGCCTATTTTTTAATTTCCTGTGGTTAAAACCAAACAGAGATTAGAGCTTTATTTTTTGTGAGAATTCAAATTCATTGGCTTAATATTTTCATTTAGTTACAAACTTGCTCTCAAATCTAATGGCATTTGCCAATAAAATATACTTCTAGTGTATCTATATAATTAATAACTTTAAAAATCTTAAATGAAATGTTTTTAAAATCTGAGGCAATACATAGCGTGTTCATTAATATAAGTAGTTGATTATTTTTAAGGAAATAATATTGCAAAGTGGAGGTAAACTGAAGTGGTACAGATTTGACTAAGTACGTTTTTAGCTACGAAGTAATTAAATCACCTTCACTGATGTATTTTAATGTTAATATTTTACCTTGTTACCCTAGTATACCATCCTCTTACTTATGTGTCCAAGCAGGCATCCTTTCTCTTTTCTTTCTCCAAAATATGACCGACTTCCATTCTATTCTAAATATATATCCAAATGTGAACTATTATTTAAACTATGATATTTGTAATTTATTACAAATCTATTATTATCTTTAAATATTCGTGAGTTCCTAAGGAGTATGTTATGTTCATGGAACACCTAATGTGAATGTGGGATATATCTAAACTTGAATAGAAGGAGTCAGTATTGTTTAGAGGATCTGCTTTTGTGCGGTGGAGTTGAGAGGAAGAAGAGAAACTTGTTGAAATGAAGGTAACTTTGGGACATTAAATGAAACTACTTGGTAAGGAAAATCTGTTTTGGGGTCACTTATTCTTACGTGTTCCCACCAATTTGCTGTCCAGCTAATTTGAAATACCAGTTTTGGTTTTTGCACATTTGAATTAAATTTGATTTCTCCTCTGCGTTCATGTGCACATGGCTTTATTTCCCCTAGTTTATAATTTCCTCCCTTTGAAATAAAGAACCTTAGTTTCAGACTTGCTTTTATCCTTCCATTTAATTTAAATTCAGTCGGTTTGTGATCTCTTGAGCCGCGATTATTGCCTACAACCAATCTTCTATGATCTTCACTTTATCTATCAAAAATATGCCTAAAATAGCATTGATAACCTGCTGGTTTAGTGACTGCATGGTGAAAAAAACAGTTTTTCATGTCTGGGAATAATTAGGACTCAGTAACTTTTGTATAATTTATTTTTCCATTTGTATCTGGAAAGTAAAGAATTCCAGACTTGGTTTCATGTAATTAATATCTAGGTCTTTGCACCTTTTTTGAGATTTCTGTCCAAATTACAAACTATAGCAGGCAATTTACAATTATTTATGTGGTAGTTACAATTGCTTATGTTTTCTTATCTGTAGTCCATTGTGGAAATCTGGCTTTTTAGAAGTTTTGGGAGGAAGGAGGAAAGTATCTC